GTGATCTTGACCAGTGAAGATAGTGCATGGGCTTAAGAGTCCCTGCGAAGAGAGTCAGAGTAGTTGTGTCGAATGGATATCGGGTGCGCTTTAAAGAGGTAGTGTAGCGTGGGGTGAGCACCATAGTACCTGTCATGGTGACAGGGCGGGCGAGTGGTTTCCTTGGTAAGGAAAGAGGGAGGAATGAAATTCCGAAAGGGAGTGCGAATTCACGGAAGTGAAAGCGGCAGTGTAGAGTTATGATTGGAGTGGTCCGACGGTGGTTTTTGAGTAGCATGTTTGCGGCAGTGGAATAAAAGCTCATCCGACTTGAGATGTCTGCTCAGGGCGCGGAGGGAATTCCGCAGGCGTAGAGCCAAGGGGGGGGTTCGGAAGGGATGCAGGGAGAGAGTCTTGGACTCTCAGTGAGATTCTGATCAGGGTTTTGGGTATGTATTAGTGGTTCATCCTGGAAGGATGTTTGAGGATATCATCAGTGTATCGGGTTTTCCAAACCTGAGGGTGCTAGAGCTAGTTCAGCATGTGTGTGTGATTGCAAGAGGAGAACTCGTGGGAGTTGCTCCGGGATTGAAGAATGGGTCTTTCTGTCGTCATGGAATGGATAGAGTGGGATTCGGATCGGGGATCCGATGGTTCATGATTTTCTAGCCATATGAGTCAAGTGAATGATGAGAATTGGAGCAGTAAGGCATCATGGGTAATTCTCGGTTGTGAGTGCGATTATCGGAGGGTACAGCCGGTGCCCGGTTTGAGACGGTGGTCAGGACACCGTAAGAAAGGAGAGAGTGAGTTGAGTTTCGTGGGGTATGCCTTGAGGGACCTGGTCCGGTTAAAGCCAGGTGGCGCATCGTGGGAGTATTTTGGAGTTGAGTTGCCGTAAGCTTCAAGGACGAAGCCTAATTTAAGTGGGGGAGAATTGTAACATCCCGGAATAGCAAGAGTAGTGTTGAAGGGCTAAAAGTGTAAATCTTGAAGGGCGACTCGGCGAGTCCATGGATGGACTCGGCGAGTAGAGTCGCGACTTTGGTCGCGTGTCAAGTGACCTACTCGGCGAGTCCAAAGATGGACTCGGCGAGTAGGTGCTGGGCGAAGAAAACCCTAAATCCGGGGAATGAGCCCTATATAAAGATCATTATGTTTCCTCCACAGCCTCCTTGATCCCCCTTGAGTCCCAGAAACCCTAATTTCGTGGAGGAACCCCATTGTTGAGCAAATTGGAGCTTGGAGAGGTGTTGTTGAAGAAATCTTGAAGGAGAAGAGGCTTGGATCAAAGGGCTTTGCTTGGATTCGAGTTTCATTGCTGTTGGGGCATTCTTTGGAGGTAATATTTCGTTCTTGGGCTGTGTTCTCTTAGATTCTCATTTTGGGGTTGTGTGGGAAGCTTAGTTGTGTGGCATCTTGAGTTTGAAGGATGGATCTGAGGTTGCTACCTCAGATCTGGAGTGGAGAAGATCTTAAGAGCATTAAAGCCCCTGTTCTTGTGTTGTTAATGGAGCTATCATGTCCCAAACCTTAGTTCTAAGGTGAATAAGGCCTAGATCTCTTTGGATTCACGTAAAGTTTGCCACTTTACGTGATGGATGGATTGTAGGAGGTTGGATCTATGTTTTGGATCAATTGCATGGCCTGGAGTGCTTCTGAATTGATTCAGACCGGTGATACTCGGCGAGTCACATGGGTGGACTCGACGAGTTGCTTGAAGATGGCCTGGAACTCGGCGAGTTGGAAGAACAACTCGGCGAGTAGGTTGAAGATAGCCTTAGACTCGGCAAGTCTGTTCTTGGACTCGGCGAGTCTGTTCTTGGACTCGGCGAGTCTTGTCGAAGAAGTCCCAATATTTCCTGGTTGAGTCAAGAATCGGTGAGTCAAGGGATGACTCGGTGAGTTGGGTGCGAGTGGACTCAGAGTTGTTGGACTCGGCGAGTCTTGGGGTGACTCGGCGAGTTGGGTCACGGATGGAGGGAAGTTCTGAGCATAGGGACTCGGCGAGTCATCGGGTTGACTCGGCGAGTAGGGTCAGTCAGGGGTTGACTTTGACTTTGTCCAAGGTTGACCAGTTGTCTTCCAAGGGTATTTATTGAATTTAATCTTTCGGTGTTCAGTGGAGGAGTTCGTGTCAGGGTTGGAGCAGCGGGATCTTATCCTTTTAGCCGGCAGTTTCGAGGTGAGTTATCCTCACTATATCAACAAGGTCTAAGGCACCAAGGCCGGCCCTTATCGGATTGAGATCCAGGTAGTTGTTATTATTTTGTTGTTGTGATATGCTTGCATCCTGAGAGTTAGGACGGTATATGTTAGAGAGATCGGTATCCTGAGAGATAGAGAGATGCTATGCTAATGACCTGTTAGGTCGGTATCCTGCTTAGAGTATGTTATGCTATGTGATCTGCTAGATTGGCTTGTTTGAATGTGAACTGTTATATGATTATATTTTTATGTGTACATGGTTGTTTGGACTGGAGATGGGTTGAGGCGGTCCTGCTTTGTGTTGTAGGCCAAGATACTCAGGGTGAACCGGCTGTTCCGAAGGCCCAGCGAGCGGTCCGGATATGCTGTAGGCCGCACGCGGGCGGACCAGACGTGCCGAGGCTCGAAGAGTGGACCAGGCCGACTGAAGGCCCGATGCGGGCGGACCAGTCATACTGTAGACTCAGAGAGTGGACCAGGTGAGTTGAAGGCCCAGTGCGGGCGGACCAACCACACTGTAGACTCGAAGGACATGACTAGACTCGGAGGATGGATCCGGTGGACTGAAGGCCCGATACGGCGGACCAGTCACACAGTAGACCCGATATGCATGGCTGTTCTATGTTCTGTTATGTTATGTATGTTTTATATGTTATGGGCCGGAAGGCAATATGTTTTGGACCGGAAGGTCGTAGCCTGGAAGGGCATATATGTGGTTGGTATTTTGGGGGTAACTCACTAAGCTTTTGGGCTTACAGTTGTGGTCTAATGTTTTTCAGGTTCTTCAGGAGACTGTGGCAAGGCGAAGGCGTGATCGTACCGCTCCTCATGATTTTGTAGCAATGTGATTCTGGGAATACCCTAAATGATTTGTATTTAAAACCTTTTTTGTAAACAATTTAATGAAATCGGGTTGTTTTTGAAAAATTTAAATTGGTTGTATTTTTCGGTCGTTACAATAAGAGCGTTTGGCCCAATAGGGGGCCAATAATGGTTTTCGGCCTTACAAGGCCCATTAGAGGGTTTTCAGCCCAATATAATACCTAATAGAGGTTTTCGGCCCATTATGGTCTAAGAAGATTTTTTGCGGCCCAATAAGGGCCTTTCAGCCTAATATAGGTCCATTGGAGCCCAAAGAAGGGGTTTCGGTCCAACAAGACCAAGTATAGTAATTATCGGCCCAATAGGGCTCAATGATAAAATCTTGGTCTAATAAGGGTTTTGGGCCGAAGAAGCTTGGGCTAAGGCCCAAAGTTGAGTAGACTTTGCTTCTTGAATTGAGTTTTCGGCTTATATGAGGTTATTTCGAGTTGAATGACAATGTATGAAAGTATGAACTTAATAGCATCGAAGTCTAAATTTCACTATATGAAATGTTGCTAGATTACACAAAGATATCATCTTGTACAATGATAAACATTCTTAACCCTAATTTGCTAGTTGTGACAAATCTGTCTCAAAAGAAAGTATTTCTCAGTTCGTTGGTTGATTTATGTTTGCTTTGATGAGATTGAATCTGTGAATAAATGTGTCTTAAATGAATTTGATTTCTCTGAATTGGTTCTCAATCCAAATACTGAAAAAGGAATCCCAATTCATTTTTCCAAGAACAACATACGAATAACATATGTTTCTGATTTCTTCCCTGTTAAATTCAAGAACTGGAAATCATTCAATTTTTCAATGGTTGAGAGATCTGTGAATTATTCAGTTGTGAATCGTGTTTTGGTTGGGAGATATGTGGAGACAGATTATTTCGATTTTATTGATGGTGATTCTTTTGGGAGTGATTTTTCTTCAGGTGCACATCTAATGTCGTATTCCAATCTCTTGATAATCGTTGAGCACCATCGATGGAACATCAACAACCTCAGATCCAAGCATCGACGATTCTGGTAGTGGGGGAATATTAATCTCCAATCAGGCTATCTTTAAAGCATTCGTCAAAGCAACCCACGTATATATGGATTTTGATGATGCTCCTGGACTTCAATTCAAAGAGAGAGAGAGAGAGAGAGAGAGAGAGAGAGAGAGAGAACTCTTTTCTGTTAAATAGTTATATTTTAATTTTTTTTTAATAAGAAAAAACTTCATAAATGTTTCGTGGAGTAGTAAAATGACGAAAATTCTCTTCATTTAACGGTAAAAAGCTAACGGAATTTATCATAAGGATCAAGCATCAAATGTTTTAAAATCATAAGGACCGTTTGTGAGGTTTTTAAAACTTAAAGACTAAACTTTAGAATTTAAAATTTAGAAAGTTTTGTTGTATTCTTTTATATATCTTTTAAATTATGTCTATCTATTTCAATTATAAGTGTACGACACCATGTGCTCGGATTACATCGGTGATGACTGTGACTGAGTTACGTCATCTGCTTACACATCCTCCATTTTATCACTCGATTCCATCCTTACCACATCATCTCATCCTTTCACATTGGTCAATTTAACAATTGAACGCAACCATTGTCGGTTTGTCAAAACAAAAGTGTATCCATCTCTCGAAAGGAATTTCAAATGTGAAACTTTTATTAAACTCTATTATCTTTCAGAATATTATATCCTCAAAACTGATACTACGTATTATTTAAAAATAAATGTGAACCTGGTTCTGTCATTTACTTTCAAGAAGAATAAAGCTAGTCATTCCATTAATTATAACTCTAAACCAGATATTATCGAATATATTTAGGATATGGTGAGATACATAGCTACTTGGACTATAAAAACCGAAGAGACAAACCAATAAGAGTTGCAAGCATCCATACTTCATTCCACCTAGGTACTCTTCTAATTTGTACAACGCAAACATGTCAACTACAGAAAAACGCTGCAAAATATGCAGAAGGACCCTGGTTAAGTTGTCTAATTCACAATATGCACCATGTCCCGTTTGTGGGACTGTTAGCCTTTTTTACAGAAAGCTCAAGGTACCCGTTCTCAAACGAATTGAACAAATTACCAATGTAGTAGACGATCTTCAACGAAACCCCACTCAGACATTGTCGAGGTTACCACGTTTTTCTCAAATCAGTATCAAACAACAAACACAAACACCTCTGGCGCAAAAAAGGAAGAAGGCTGTTCTATGTGGTGTGACCTACAAAGGCCATAGCAAGAAACTTGAAGCCAGTGTTCATAATGTAAGGAGCATGCAACAACTACTTGTGAACAAACTGGGTTTTCTGAATGATTCAATCCTCGTCCTTACAGGTGCTTTTCGATCCACTTTGAAAGCCTCGAGTTAAACTTTAACTTCGTTCATGTGAAACATATCTAAGTTTGTGATAATGTAACTTTTTCTGCAGAAGAGGAATCCGATCGCTCTAGGATTCCAAAAAAACGTAACATACAAGAGGCATTACGCTGGCTGGTTGAAGGTTGTAAATCTGGGGACTCGTTGATATTCTACTATTCAGGGCATGCATGCAAAGTTCCTGATGAAGATGGAGATGAGATTGATGGGTATGATGAAGCGTTGTGCCCTCTTGACTATAGAGTGGCGGGAGTGATACTTGATGACGAAATCAATGCCACCATTGTAGCACCACTGCCTCATGGAGTAACACTTCATAGTGTTATTGACACTTGCTTTAGTGGAACTGTGCTAGATCTACCCTTTCTTTGCCAGATCAACCAGTCGGTGTTAATTTCCTTTTATTTACTCGATGGAAACACTTTTTGTCCCAGTTTTTTTATTACTGCCCACAATTCATTAAGAAAGAACATTGAGATGTTTAAATATAGTCAAACAATTCATTAAGGTGGATACTAATTAACGTTTTGGAAACAAGTTTTCATTGCTTTAGATGGAATTTCAAAAAAAAGTAACTTCGTGATGTTCTTTCATGGAGCAGGGATGGACTATATATGTGGGAAGAACACCAACTTATAAATAAAGGGACTCGTGGAGGCAAAGCACTGTGTATTAGTGCCTGTGCAGATAACCAGAACTCAGCGGATACATCGGTAATTATCATCTTCTTTACTACTCTTCCGCCAAAATAGTAAGTGTGTTGTACACTATATCATTTCCCACTTTACACAAAACATTAGGCATCCACATTAAGATCTATTAAGTTTAATGGATTCTTACATCAAGTTTCTATTTTGGGTACTATTTTAATATTAATTTCTAGATTGTATTGGAATCTACAAAATTCAATCGAATATATTTTTATATAATTTAATTTTGTTTTCATTAATTAGTGCGATAGGCATTAAAATCCAAATCTATTATATTTCAACTTGGCTTGCTATTATAGATGAGTTTAGTAGATTGATTGTCGTTCATTCAACAATTTTATTAAATTTTGCATTGTAGATGTTTTTTTTTTTTTTTTTAACGACAAGACTTTATTAAGAAAAGCGAGCGAGAAACTAGAAAAGAAAACAAAATTACACCCAATCTTCCCAATTCAAAGTTTTAAGCTCTTTCCCTCTATAATTTTTTTTTTGAAACGACAAATATAATCTACTCCTAAACTACACCTTAAATCCACATATGTCAACGACGGAACTTGAACCCTCAACCTCAAGTAGGAAGGGCATCACCGGATACCGTTAGACTATAAGTCCTTTGGTCTTTCCCTCTATAACTAATCCAAAGAAAAGATAAATACTTCACTTCGTTAGCTAACTGTAAAATGCCTTTTGACTTGCCTCTCAAACATAACTTATTCCTATAAGACCAAAGAGTCTATAGGAAGGCTCTCATAATAGCCTCATGAATGGCAGTTTCAAAATACCTTCAATTTAGGTTAACCGGACTAATGATCGAAGTGTGAAGAGAATTGCAAGACGCCAAAAAAGGAAGCTTCGTCCACCACCTACTCAAGTGGGCCATCAACTCTACATCGGTCGAACATGAGAGAAAAAGATGCACTTCATTTTCCATAACTATGTTACACAACAGACACAACATATTTGTAATCGTCATCCCCCTTCTGGTCGAGTTCTCTTTGGTGGGTAATCCCACTAACCTCCGTCTCCAAAAAAAAAATGTTAATCTTGCTCGTAACGACCTTGCTCCACACTATGGGAATAAGGACAAAAAACAAGAATATAATCAAAGGCTTTTCTAAAAGAGATAACAGTGAAGACACCATCACTCTCAAGAGCCCATCTCCATCCTTTATACGCCCGATTACCCTGTCGATACGCCATATTGAAAGAGAGAATTTAGATCTAGATTGTGAGGCACCAACATATCCCCGATACCACAAATAGTTTCAACGTTTGTTAGATGGCTTCTATTTCGATTCTTTTTAGTAAGAAAAGAAAATGAGAGACAAAAGAAATAAATTCAAAAGATACATGTTAAGCATAAGGCATACACAATACATACGATTATCCGCAATGGAAACATACAATAATTCCAATGTATTCATGCAATCTATAAGGATCTTGTAACATCCCAAAAACCATGACAAGTTTTTCATTTTATTAAAAATGTTTTCATTTAACCATAAGAGAATCAACCAATTTTTTCAAATCAAATACATAGAAATCAAAGTATCAAATTATATCTCAAACATAAATCAACATGATGATGTGTACGGTCACGTCTTCAAATTGTCATGATCATCTGAAGTACTTGGAAAATTGAAATCAACAACTGTAAGCCAAAACTTAGGAGTTCCCCCAAAATACCTCACACAACAACACATATACAATACATGCACATCGAACCCACAACCATAAAGATTGGATTGCCCTCGGGCCCATAACATGAAGGTTGGATTGCCTCTGAGCCCACATCATAAGAATGGATTGCCCCCGACCCTCAACTTATGACTGGATTGCTCCTGAGCCAGCATTATAAGACTATTTTGCCCAACCATCCCTTAGGTTATGACTCGATTGCTCCCGGGTTTTTGGCTTACAGCTCAAAACAATATATCCTCAACCCAACCATACTAAGAACTAAACACGAACCAATAATACGGGTAATCATACAGATCTACCAATATACGATATCCCCACAATATACCAACTTCCTATACATAATGACACATACTTTAATATAAAGTATAGTGAGAAAACTCATCTCTTAGGCTAGTAAGCAAACAACACAGATCTAGCAAATCAAAAATAGGTACTACTAGTCACATATACAATAATCAGGAACTAGGCCTCAAACTACAACCTAAGACCCTTAATTTGACCTAAAGTCAAACTTCGTCAAAGTTAATGGTTAACGATGAAAAGCCAACTTAGATGGACGCCACATCGTGACCAATCCTTGTCACATCGTGGAAGCCTCACAACAAAATAGTCGCAAAATTGGATAACGCTACGACGTGGAGGTTAATCTCCACGTCATGGGAATCGCCCATACCAACTTATTGCATTAATTTCTTAATCCCTCAAGTTATCCATCCATACAATCTGGAAGGCATTCCTACATCCAAAACATCATAAAAATTAGTGCTTTATAGTAATACATGTCCAATGCATGTCTAGAACTCAAACTAGGTCAAAATGGTTTAAATTGGGGTTCAAATCTAATAGAAGTATCCAAAGCCCTATAACTCTCTAGATCTACAACACCAAACCCCAAAATGATCTCAAGAATTCATAAAGTTTCTATTTTTATGAGACCTACTCATCCTAACTTTCCCAATCATGAAAATACTAGCGTGGAAGCTTACATCTAAAAGTTCAATGCATAAAGGTTGAGCTTGGACACTTACAATGGTCTGGAACAAGTACACAAAGATGATTAGAAGAGTTGCTTGTTGAATCAATACCCAAGTATTACCTTCTTCTTCAAATCACAAAAAATCACCATAAAACTCAAGAACTTCAACAATGGAGGATACGGTTTCAAAGAGAGATGAAGGGAGGTGATGGAGGATGAGGGTGTGCAAACCTTAGCCATCGCATTCCTTAAATAGGGGCACAAACCATGTAAATTAGGGTATATCATTAAATGGTTGGCATGTTGTAGCCATAGCCACATCATGGGACCTCATTCACCACGTCGTGGACACTAAATCTAAAACTTGGAGAATAAAATTTTTTAAGAGAAACAAACCAGAATCTTGGTGTTACAATTCTCCCCCACTTGAATTAGATTTTTTCCTTGAAATCATTCCTTACCGAGAACTCCTTAACACATACAAACTCCTTGTGGCTCTTCCAAGTCTACTTCCTACTATCAGCAAAAACCACCCAGAGTGACAAAATCTGCAATCACAAATAGAAAGATTTCTGAACCCAAGCGGAATCTAACAGAAGATCGAATTCATGACCGCAACAACCTGAACATAGCATCTAACCAACCTTGAGAAAACTAGCTCTTATCCTTAACTCAAAGGCTCTAAGGCTGTACCCAAAAACTCGGAGAACAAACCTGTCGTATATGTCAAACTTGTTGACCGGGAAACTCGCATGTCCACTTTTACCGAGTTCCTTACCAACCTTGCACCATCAAATGAATGAACTAAAGAATGTATTCCACAACTAACTGTTGTCTCTGACAACCACACTCACGGATGAACATAGACTCAAACAAAAGCCCAACAGTACAGACTAGCCTAGCCTAGCCTATACATCGACACAACCCTAGCAACCTTAAGTCTAAATAGAAGAATGACCAAACAGACCATGATAGGTCTGATTCTACCCATCGCAAATTTTAATTTCGCCTAAAAATTCTCAAGTACACACTTGACTTACTGGAAAGTCATCACTATCCCACCACTCCCACGAGTGTAACAATGTCAATCTAGAAGACAATCTTGGGAAATCACACTCCCAGATGCTCTGGAGTACAACCACTTAAAAAATCATCCAAGATTCCTACAAAAAACTTCATCATTGGCAACTCAACTCACTCAAATCTGTTCTCACAACCACACATAAAGATCCATTACGAAAACTCCACAAGGAACTGTTGATAACAATTGCGACTTTGCAACAAATCAAAATCTTACCATAATCTGACACAAACCCATCAACTATTGACCATCAGTAGTATTTCCATATTGCTCAAAATACCCAACTACACCAAAGACCAATAAATTACACTTGCAGATCTCCATGACACAACTGCCATCCCAACACATAAGTGAAATACACAATGCTTCAAGACACGTCGTGGCACTATCCAACCATTGGGATGAGAATCTTACGGTTCTTCACCGTTCTTTCTATCACCCAATCACAAACATGAATACTACCGACCAGCGCCTGATGGGCCTATGGGTACACGACCATCATCCTACCGTCCTGTAGGAACATAGTCAACTAACTAGGAAATGAGATAAACTGTTGAAGGCTTTGCCCCAACTTAAAAGTAAGAAATCAAATACGTACTATTCCAACCATATGTACTGAGGTTATCACACTCAGTCCCCTTACACTCCACAAGACGGTATTTTTAGGACTATTAACAATTCACATTTACCAACACAAAACTTCTTCAGGCCGAATGTGTTCCTTCTTTATCATGTCCTTACCTAAAGGGTGAAGTAACAACAAATTGGGAGAAATGCCAAACCTTAGCTGCTCACAAAAACATTCTTCTAATAATCAAAACAAGATCCCACACCTTGATTGAAACCGAACATATCCCACCAATTCCCAACGAACCTGTTAATACCTCTAAATTTGGAGAAAATTACAAAATTATCTAGAAATGCTGTCAGAAACCTGATCGGATTAACCCAAATACCAAACCTGATGGTGTGATTTTCCTAAATTGAACTCTGCGAAGTTCCGTGGTCAAACTCGAAAAACTGAATAACGTGGATTTGACTTCCAAGCTTCAAATAACCATGGATACCTTCCAAACTCGAGCCTACTAGAGACATTGATTCTACAACTAGAAAAAAAGAGTTCCTAAACAAATAGACCAAGATATATGCCTTATAAAACTTGAAGAAGGGTTGACACATCAATTTAACCTTCCTTTATTACTCCCTGGAGACCCTCGCACGACTCTTAGATGTTGATGAGGAATG